GGCTGGCTAAGCCCATGGGGAGCTCTGAGTCAAACAAACTAGAATGCACTAAACAGAGCAGAGGAGTCTTCTTGTTTTGCAAATCGTGACAGTTGCCAGCTCTCTCTTACCTGCTAAACACATCTCAAGCATGTGGAAAAGCATTTGGGAATGAGATGATGACATCAGCTGATGCTGGTGTAATCTTCTTGTTTAAAGGGCCAAGCTGCAATCAGCTCTCTTGGGAGCAGAGCGTGTTTGGGGCCACGAGCAGGAAGGAGGACTCATGCCTGCAGGGAAGCTGACCCTGCGCAGGATGGGCTGATAGCTGCCTATCAGCAAGATTTCCATTGCTAGTAGTTGGCAGAGCCTCAAATCTACTTGGACTGCTGCCCCGCTCCCTCCTCACTAACCCGGACTTCCCCTGGTCCCAGCCACCTCTCAGTGCTCCCCCATTGCAGCCCTACCAGGCACTGTCCCAGGCGCAGCCCCCTTGCCGATCCATCCAAACATCTCTGAAGGGCTGTATGCCCTGGTGCAATGGCTGGATCTTTCAGTGGGAAGTATGGAGGAGGGAGGGAGGGAGGGAGGACCTCACTTTGGGGGGAGGGGGGATGGCATCAGGATCCAAGAGGAAAAAAAAAAGCCAACCAAAAAAAAAATCCCTCCCGATCCCTCCTTGGAGCCCCTTCGAGGTGTCTGGGATTGGGAGAAAGTTGAAGACTTGGAGGTTCTTATAGCTCCTGCTGGCGGAAAGTTTGGGGGCAGCAGTGTCATTGGCCTGACGTGGAGAGGAGGGACTTTTGCTGAGTTTTATAGGAAAGTTTCCGCTTCCCCCCCTCCACGCCCTCCCCCAATTATTTTTTTCAAACCATTCACAAGTGATCTGGCCTCCCCCCCACACACACATACATCCTTACCCCAGCCCCTTTCTCGGCTTCCCTCTCCGCGGTTTCTCGCTCAGGCTCCTTCGGTTCGCACTCGGCTTTGGGCTGGTGCTGGGGGGCCGGGGCGAGAGGTTATGGGGGTGCCCGTGCACCCCCTGCGCTGCTGCGGAGGGGCCAGAGGGCCGCTTAGTGCCTGCGCTGGGGGGCGGCTGCCCCGGAGCAGCCGGGGGCA